TTCCTTTCTTCCTTTCTTCCTTTCTTCCTTTCTTCCTTTCTTCCTTTCTTTCTTCCTTCCTTCCTTCCTTTAAAACAGCGGTTCTCAACCTGTGGGTCGGGATCCCATCTGGGGTCGAACGACCATTTCACGGGGGTCGCCAAACAACGCAGTCCGCCATTTTTTCCTCCTTTTCCTTAGCTGTGCTACTCCCTTTTATTCTATTGGCTTTTGAAAGCCAATAGAATAGACTCTCTTGAATAGAGTCTAATTCTATTGGCTTTCAAAAGCCAATAGGAATTGTCCAGGCTGTCTCTGCCCTGCTGAGCTCACCAAAAGTCCCATTCTGCAAACGGTGCTGCAAGTTGTCTTTAGCGAAGGTGAGCTGTCTGGAACTTTCCACCCCTCCCTGCTGAGCAACTACTAAAAATGTAAGTAAAAGAGGGCCGGGGGTGAGAGGTGGAGACTGGCAGGCACAGGGAGTGTTGCTGGCGCGCGGGGGCCCAGCGGGTGCCTTACCTCCCTTGGGCTGGGCCAGCTGGTGGCCCAGCCGGTGGTCAGCCTGTGCCATTTCTGCCACTTGCCAGCTATGCCTCGGCTGGCGCAGGGGGCAGCACCACGCATGCACGGTGTTCCCGGGAAGGGAAAGTCCTCGACTTATGACTGGTTGGGTAGTCCTCAACTTATGACTGGTTGGGGGTCGCTGCATTAAAAAGGTTGAGAATCATTGCTCTAAAACAAGCAGCTTTTTTCATAGGCTGTCCTATCATTCATTCATTCAGAAACATTTTAAAATTTTTATTTTCTCCTCTTCTGGTATTTCATATGTTTTCCCCTCCCCTAGCTTTGTAAACAATCTAGTGTGCCAGAAAGTTAGTTTTTTAATAGATCTGGATGCCAACACCCACTATGCTTACTATATTTTACTGTCCCGAAAGCAATGCAACGTATTGTGTACTAGTGACTTTGAGTACAAAACAAACAATACTGGATGAAATTGCAGTACTATCCTGCTCTGTGGAGCAAGCATGTGAAAGGAATGTTTGAAACTATGCTGCCAGCATCAAAACTCAATTAAGGGTATATGTAATTTGAAATTCACTAAGCTAGCATGTAACTCTGCAGGCTAGGGAATGAACATGGATCAATCTACATGGCCTCCAAATCGCAAATCTTAATATGAAATAGGGATACGTTCTTTAATATAAGGGATCTGATTATATCAAATGAAAGAAAGTAAAAAAAAAATGTTGCATATCTACCAAACATCTGATCTTGTGGAATGAAGTTGATGAGGATATGAATTAGTGTGTAGGTTTAATTATAAATGAAAGGATTAACAGGTGCATCAAAAATTATGAATTGGTGTGAATGTCTCTGAATTCAGAAGTTTCAGGTATTATATTTCACTGAATACTGGTAAAAAACAAGAATTATGAGAAGGGGGCCAGGAGTGAAGCCTGTACAAGATTTTGTATGAATGTAATCAAGGAAAAAGTGACATGAATGGAAGGCTAGGCACAAGACAAGAGATTTTTTTTTTAAAAAAAAAACAACGTGATTGGACCTTGGAAGTCCCAAAAATGAATGAGGATGGTTATTGTTTGATGCAGATCTACTTACAAAAAGAATGCTTTGTTTAGAATAAATTGCATAGATAAATTCATGTGTAAGTAGGACAATTTAAGCATGGCAAAGAAATTCATATGAATGTAAAAACTTAATTTTTAGTTTGATTATTTATGATGAAGTTTCAGAGTATCAGTAAAGAATTACAAGAATGATAAGAGTTTTGAATGTGAGACAGAACAATGTGACATGAATGGATCTAGGGTGAGAAAAATGTCATGGAAATAAATAAATAAGTTGAAAGAAGTGGAAGTGGAATGTTTGCAGTTAGAGAAAGTACAAGTTCAATATGAAAATGTATTAGAAGATTAATCTCTCAAATGAATGGAGTTTGAACATCAGAAATGATGGAGAAAGCTCACTGAAACAAAATGAAATTAATTGCATTTCAAAATGGCACAGAAATGGTGTTAAGCTAATATGAAATATTCTGCAGAATGCTTGGTAGATTGATGAAACAAAAGGGACTGTGGATGATAAAAACATAATGTAAAAAATTAATTGCTGCAAAAAATGGAGGAAAAAGTCTGAGTAATGGATATATTTAGAAAAAATAGCTATACAAATATAATAAAAAAGAACAAAGGAAAGAGATACAGCAAAGCAGACTGATTTTTATACAGATAAAACATTGTTTTGGAAGTGAGGTAAAATGGGTAACCCAGGGCATTCCAGCAGAGTGAACAGAATTACGAATAAAAGTGATGAAAGCATTTTGAATTAAATTGGAATATATGAAGGATTTATAAGAATTATAGTGATATACTGAAGAGTGAAATTTTGCTATGAATGTTAGTGCTTGGGGGGTAAAAGTGAAAAGAAAGTTATAAATGCCATAAAATTTTGAAAAATGGCAATGCTGCAAGTATAGGTGTAATGAATGAATGTTGTTTGCTTTATGGAATGGCTGTTACTCTCTTAACTTGTGTATAAAGGCTTCATTCATGCCTGACAATTGGAAGAGTGTAATTATTCTTCCTTTACAGAAAGAGAAAGATAATAAGAGTGAATGCAAAAACTATAGGGGGATTAGTTTGTTAAGCATGTCTTGGGAAGTATTTGGCAGAACTCCAATTGAAAGAGTCAGAGAGATGACAATATGGAAAGTACATACAGCTTTATGCTGGCCAGGGAATGGAGAGACCAGTTTTTTGCTCTTTAACAAAACATTGAGAAATGTATGAATGTGAGAAAGAAAGATTATTGGACATTTGTTGATTGAGGGAAAATTCATGATAAAGCAAAGCATCTTAAGCTATAGAATGGTTGTCTGACCATGGAGTTCAAGATTAGTTTTTTGAATGGAATAAGAGCAAAAAAGGATGAAAGTAAAGAATACATGAGAATAAGTGGAATACTTAGCAAAGGGTTCAGTACAAAATGGGTTATCAAATAAGGATATAACAACCTTTCTGTTGTTTAATACACTTAAGGACAAATGTATAAGGAGTGCTTATGCAATCTTAAATATGCTGGCTAGGGATATGAATATGTCCATATTTTTTTGTGAAGACGATACTACAGTTTATTGTTGGTGAGAATATGATTTGCATGAATATCAGGTACATTATATGTTGCAAGAAGGAATGTAGAACTAAAAATTAATACATCAAAGACCAAGATAACTGGATTTCACAAGAAGCATATCGATTTATATTAGTGTTGTCTTCTCTGCTCTCTTGAATTTATTTTGACCACTTCTTATTCTTATTCACTCATTTGCAAACATTGCTTAGCCCAAAAGACAATAGCCTGAAACTACCATTTTGAATACAGGAATAAAAAGGACCCTGCATCTGTTGCCCTGATTTAGGAATAGGTGCCATTGTCATCTATAGTGAGTTTATTTGTGTTTTAAAATACAAAATGGGTGGCTGGGGAATTCTGGGCGTTGAACGCTACACTTCTTAAAGTTGCTGAGCTTGAGAAATACTGTTCTAGCAGAGCTATCATGGGGTACAATATAAGGGTTCAAACAATTTGATTGAATCAGATTCTGAATTCCAATTCCTCCTTTTATTTAAAGCCCTGATAAAATATCTAGTAGAGTAGTAGTTTCCCTTCCACGTAAGTTTAGAAAGCTCAGTGTACTTTGCCTCTAAGTATTCTGCAAGTCAACACACAGTTTTCCCTCCTCTTCAGGTTAAGACAGTATTTCAGAAGTACAAGTGAGAACATTTTTTTCCTGAACACCAGCTTTCAGCTTTAATCCAGTCTAAACATGTATGTATGTATGTACAGCTTATTATACAAGCCTAACATCTGTGCGGTCTAATCTAACTGTATCCATACCTTCTTCCCCAAATCTAGAGTCAAGGAATATATAAGGAATAGAACAGATGTTAATGGCCACTTTGCTCCTTTCTTTGGTTCAGTCAGACAAGCTTTGATTTCACTAGTGATTCTTTGAGAAAACCTTGATCTTCTTTCTTCCATCATCTTCAGCCTCATCTACAATAAGTAGATTAGCTTCTGCCCTTCAAGATTTTCCCCTGGATGGTGCTCTAGAATGCTCTGTGCAGTTCGAAACAGTCATGAACTTACAAGTCTTTGACAATGCAAACATTGCCTAATTTGTATTACCGATAGGATTATCAGTCACACTTTCTCTGATGACCTCCAACATTCACTTGAGCTGTCAGAGTCTATGTTAGACATTTGAGCTGCCAGCCATCTCCTCTATTTCCAGGCTTCTTCCTCCCAAACTCCAGGGGGTGGTTTAGGACTTCCTGTTCTTTGCCATCCCATATCTGTCATACCTTCCTTCACCTATGAGAACTATTTCCTGCCAGAAATTAAATTAATACATACTCTCAGCAACTTATTAGTAAACCAAGTGCAAACTCATGAATGAAGGTGAATATACGTGTCCTAGGATAATATTGCAGGATCCAATCTGGGTCACTCAAGGGAGAAGTTCCCTGAGGATAGCTTCTAGCATGAGTTCAAAGGTTTGGAATACTAAATCTCTGGTCCTAGTGATTGAGCCAGATTGGATCCTGCAAGTACCAACTCTTTTGTTTGTGTGTATGCATGGATACATAAAGACCCAGTAAGAAGCTACAGCTGAAAACCCAAAAGTTGCTTTTTCAAAGGCAACTGGATTTTGTTTTTCCTTGAAGATGTTTCACTTTTCATCCAAAAAGCTTCTTCAGTTCTGACTGACTGGTGGTGGATGGAAGAATTTATATTCCTTTCACTCATCCTTCCCTTCTCCACCATTCAGTCAGAACTGAAGAAACTTCTGGGATGAGAAGCAAAACGTCTTCAAGGAAAAACAAAGTCCAGTTGCCTTTTGAAAAAGCAACTTTGGGACAACCATGACCTGGATGACTGAGAATCTCCATAGACATATGGCTGAAAACATAGTTTAGCACAGTAATTAATCCCTATCTGATAACAATTAATTAATTAAATGTATATAGCAGCCTGTCTCGCAGAAGGTGACTCTGGACAGCACAAAACAATATTTTTGGAAAGCAAGCTCATGGAGGATTAAGGTGCTACTTGCAGCCTTGTTCGCTGTATCTGCGATCAGCTTCTAACATCAGAGGTGTGATTTAGAAACCCTTTTGCTGTGGGGTCTTAAAAATTAGTTTTGGTATCTAGTCCAACTTCTACACACTTACAGCAAGGCTATCACAACTGTGATGTATGCACTGTTAGCTTCTCATCTGTAAAGGTCATAATACGATGTTCTAGCATTGATTAAAAATGAGGTATCCCATTCTTAATATGATTGAATAATACAGTCATTAGTTCAAAATACATGCCATGGTTGTAGGATTTCATTTCCTTCCAATCTGTCTCTCTCTTCCTGGCATTCCAATTACTGGTTTAGCAAGTATTTCCATCTCATTATTGTAGAGGTTAGTTATTAAATAAAGCCTATTTAGCAAACACAAAAAGGAAGAAGCATCTAGCACCAGTGGGAAGAAGGGAATCTCCAGCTTTCCAGCAATTCACTTGTGCCTTTGTAAAGCCTCCAGGCTCCATTCCCATGGGCAGCCAATGTAACTCCTAAGAGAAGACGATATAAAGTATGTGGCAAAGACAAATCCCCAGAAATGAACAATGACTATGGCAGCATAGATTAATGTACAGCATATGAGAGCTGAGCCAATAATTCACAGTAAATAACAGACTCAATGAATTTAGCCTCATTTAATGCTTGAGACTGTGAGGAGAATGTGATTGCCTTCAATTCATTTGCTATCCTAAATAAAACTAACACATTTGGCAGTTATTTGCCTTTTCTTACTCCCCCACCCCACTTTTTTTTGTGGAGCTGTTTATTCAGATTTTCACTTTCTCTTATCATGCGAGTAGCCCTCGACTTACAACAGTTCATTTAGTGACCGTTCAAAGTTACAACAGAACTGAAAAAAGTGACTTAAGACCATTTTTCAGTTACGAACTTTGTAACTGTTACCACGATCATGTGATCAAAATTCAAGTGCTGGGCAGCTGGTTCATATTTATGACCCTTGCTGTATCCCAAAGTCATGAGATCCCCTTTTACGATCTACTGACAAGCAAAGTCAATGGGGAAGCCAGATTCACTTAAAAACTGGATTGCTAACATTACCTGCAGTGATTCACTTAACAACTGAGGCAAGAAAGGTTACAAAATGGAGAAAAATTCACTTAACAACAGTCTCACTTAACAACAGAAATTTGGGCTCAATTGTAGTCGTAATTTGAGGACTACCTGTATATGAAGAGCTTGTGGGAAGATTCCTGCTTTCATACTTCATAAGGTTGTGGATGTGTCCCAAAGACGCAAAGGATGTTTACCCCCAAATTTCTATCTGTTAAAAAAGGATTTCCAAGTAAGAATATGGAAGTACAGCCAATTGACTATGGTTTGTATAAGAGAAGTGCACAGAATTTTGACATATACATTTCTACATGAGTGTTTTGTGCTCATTGGACTGAACATTCAGTATATCTGTGAACGAGGTCTAAAAAAAGAAAGATTGGGCATGAACGTATGGTGTGAATGAGTCAGTGATCAGGAACATGAGTTATAATCATGGGGAAAAAAAACCTTGCTAATTTTTCTGCATCCCTTATTTCTTATTGGTAGCATTGAAAAATGAAATTAACAAAGAATTGTATATCCAGTCCTATCTGCATATTTTTATGGCCAAGTAATTGCATTTTAAGCATGGCTCATAAATGTAAATATTGGACAATAACTTGCGTTTGCATATAAATCCCTTTTAAAGATCAACTTTTATGTTGTATTCTGTCTTTCATGGGCCTATAACCCCTTTTCAGTGGCACATCTATTGAAGTCTCAATTAAGTATCGCATCCTGAGCAGTTAGGCAAACTAATATCTAAGCAGCAGCTGCAGGAGATAATGGATGGACTCACATTTTTCATTTTAATCACATGGACTTGATGAATTATTTAAAAACCTTAAATATATAATGCTTTCAAGCCAGGGAAATGGACCGGATTCCCAAAGATATTGACTTCCAAAGTGCTATATGGAGAGGCAGTGTATTAAATTTTTAAATATTCTGATCTTAATCTTTACATTACAGACTATCAGTGTATTGATTGGAGTTGTACACTGGCTTTCTTCTGATGAAAGCCATTTGCAGATATCACTAGCTGTCATTCTGGGAAAATGCATTATTGTACTTTCTTTATCTTTAAGCAAAATCAGAGGCTTACAGAGTTTATTTTATCTGACTTCCACCCCCGACCCCACCCCCTTGAGACAAGCATGCAGTCTGATTCTAATTTTCAAGAAGAATTGTTTCTTTGTTCCTAAGAAAACTGTTATGAAGATGTCTGTTTAAGTGCTTGCTCAACTTCTTGTTTTAATTTTTGTTCAACTTGCAGGAAGAAATCTCCTCTATAAGAAAATATAAAAACTCAGAAAGTTAAAGAAAAGAGGCTCTTTCAATTGGACAGAATGGTCTTAAGTTTGCTTGCCTTTAGTTGTCTACCTGCTCAGCTTAGAGATCTCAGAAAAAGATGGTTATCTTAGTTCTATAACTCTCCAGCCCATGATTACAAAGGATTAGTCATTGTAGTTGAACCAAAATTTGGAACGTGAGAATTTCATAAGGGCTAACTTAGAAATCCCGCTAAGGTCATTAGAAGCCAAACCTTCTAATGTACAATATGGGGCTTTCTCATACTAGCTATTGTACTCCATCATCTCTGTTTCTCCCTTTCTCAAAATCTGCCTTGTTACTTTTGAGAGGGCTGTATAGCTTTCTGACATTTTGAATAGCATTGCCCCAAGAGTCCTGTAACCATTTTCCAAGATGTTTCAAAACAGACTAAACCTTCAATGTCCTGGAAATCGATGATAGAACCATAGAAATATGTAATTAATTCACAGCAAGGAAGCAGCTTAACATTTTGATTCAGCTAGATGAACTCATAATTGGGTCATTTTTTTTAAAGCACAGGGATTTGTGGCCATGCAGTTTTATAACAATTGATCATTCTACCCATTTTTCAGAAATTATTAATAGATTGTTTCCAGCACATTGAGCAACATGGCTGTTGTAACCTTTTTTGTTATTGTTCTTTTCCTGCTCTCTGGAATGTTTTAAAAACAATATTCAATTGTTTTTGCTTCAATTGTTTTTGCAGCGCCCGGATGAGTGGGAACAGCTTGTTTTTGAGTGGTGTAAACAAACAAACAAGCTATATTCCAAGGATATGTTTTTTAAGCATTCTGAAAGTCAACCAAAAACAATTATGGACAACCAGTGTTCCAAATATATGCAGCAACCACCTTGAATTTTCAATGCAGGGATTCGATTCTTGTTTTAGATGCACCCTCAGAGATACCAATATAAGCTCAATGAGAAGAAGTGATCAGAGTTTTTGATAGAGTCAGGAAGCAAAAAGTTCAAATCCATGGAAGTTCACTGGGCCAGCCAAATTCCATCAACTCTAATTATCTCGCAAGATGGTTGTGGGAATAACATGATAGAGAACCGTAGCATGATGAATACCACCTTCACCTGCTGGGGGAGCAGAAGAAGATAAATCTGGTGTGAGAAAAATAAAATTAGCTATGATCTGCATTTTTAAGGGTGCTTTTTCACATGTGCCCAAAATTATGCAGGCAATATATATATATATAACAGCCAGCATGAAATTGGTTCAATGCACAGAAGTGTGAAAGAATGTGTTCATCTATTTCTCAGTGAAAACAGTATATACAGTTAAAGGGAACAGGGTCAGGGAGAAGAAGAGAATTACAAATTGTAAGTGACTACTGGCAAATCTCTGAAAGTTGCCAGTAACAATTGTTTCTAATAGAGGTAAGTGAAATATCAGCGCACCATCTTCCAAGCTGTACAATTTTATTAGTCAAGCAATCCATTTTCTAATTACTGTCCTTTTAACTTGCTTATCTGACCTTAAAAGTGTTGCTGAGAAGGTCATCAATAATGACCACATTAGAAAAAGAGAGAGGACAAGTTAACATAAACAGATGGTTCTGCAGAAACAGCTGTAGCACCCCTATCTCAACTAAGAGAATATGAACTCTTAAATCACACTGAATTTATATATTGTGACATCATAATTGATCACATCAAGAGGATGCAGGGATGATGGACTGTGTGATGACTTATATAACTATAATGCAGGGAACTCTTAAAATCGGTTATATTGAAATGTGACTGACAGCTACTATTATGATTATATATACCACAAAAGGGTAAATCCAATAAAGGGTTTATTTGTCATGATTTATTCATCTAATAAACAGTCACATGTTATTTATTGTTCCTCCTATATTTTAGTTTATATTTATTATATTGAAAAAAAAAGATACGTAAACATTTTCAGTGTATTTGGGTTTTTTTTTAAATTTCACTTAGGAAATGGATAAGCTATCCACCCCTTTAATGGCTTTGTGTGGCTTATAAAAATGGTATAAAAACAAATCATCATTTTTTATATATAAAATGTAAACACCACGAGCAACTAGAATTGTAAGTGTTGAAATATTAGATCATTTGAAGGCCTGAATAAATAAAGGAATTTTCAAACTTGTATCACTTTCTATTCCATATAGAAAGTCCAACTGATATGGATTCAATACTATTTTACATTATGTTCTTAATGCATTGTTTGTATATACTTTTGTTGTGATTTATGGAGATATTTGTATAAAGATAAATCAGGACTTACCAAATCTGGAAAGCATCTGTAACTAGATTTTGAGCTTCCCTCAGCTGTAACAAACATAGTTGCCTCAATTCTAGTGGCAATTTATTTTATAATTCAGGTAATGCTGGAGAATTCATTGTTGATGTCAAATGTATTAAACTACTGATATCTTGGTTCAGTAATAACTGCATTGTCCTGAATTTATCTTCAGCCAAATTAATGATGAATAATTTAAAGAAATCCCACTGAACAAGTTAAAATGTTTATGTATTAAGTGTATCTAATAATTTTTAAATGAGATGCATAATTGCACATTTTTTAGTTTGTTATTGCATGAATTAGGGACTGATATCTTATTCTATCAAATATTGTAAGAAATGCCCGTCTCTAAGTTGAAATTGTATTATTATTATATCAATAAAGGCATGTATATATTAATACCAAGAATAGGTGACAAAAGATTGTTGTACAAAGTCAGGGGTAGGCAACCTTGGCTTTTTTATGACTTGTGGACTTCCACTCCCAGAATTCCTGAGCCAGCATGGCTCAGTTTGAAAACCTTTCCCTTTCCCCTCAGCATGGCTGGCTCAGGAATTCTGGGAGTTGAAGTCCACCAGTCATAAAAGAACCAAGGTTGCCTACCCCTGCACTGGGTTATTTGTGGCCATACTGATTTATGAAAAAAACAAAAAGAGCTGCATATCCAAATTCAATTTTATAGGAGACATGAAGGGCCCTGCTCCAAACTTTCAAGCAGCGTCCCCACGTTTCCTCTCTGTCCCTCACTCCTTTTAATATTATCAGTAGCTGCCCTGAAGTTAAATAACTTTCATAAATCTCAAGACATGAAATATATGAACCTGTTAAATTCCAAAAGGACTCCTTGGCTCCTTTCTCAGTCCTAAATTTCTGTTGTAAGAAGACAGGCCAGAGGATCTGTTTCATCAGCTTCTCCAGGTGACCTGCACTAATTTAGAAAAGCAGCAAAAGAGACATTGGGAGTATAAGTGGAGTTAGCATGAAAGGATTTAGCAACCCACTAAACACTAAACACACTTTCCCAGCTGTAGCACACCCCATGGGATAACCTGTTTCTTACTACTTGGGTTTCTCCATTCATCAGATTCTGGACCATTGGATTCCAGGAAAGAAAGAACAGATCCTACAAGCCAGAAATTTTAGGCTTTTATATGAAATCATCTAACTGTACTAGTAATACAAACCCATCCACTCACCCACCACACGTGTCAATTAACAACTAATGGAAGGAAACTTTAAAAAGAAAAGAAAGAAGGTCCAGTACAGTTTTCACTCCACACACTTCCGATTTATTTTAAATAATTCTGAATGAAAAGATAGCACCTTTCAAAAATACAATTCTACTTGGGCTGGGTTGCAAGGATCATGATCAGCTGAGTAAAGTGAGCGGTTATTCTTTCTTTCATGAGGATGATTCCCACATGTCAGTTAAGGCTGAAGTGAAGATGAAGGAAGGCCTTGAGTGAGCATTTTGCTTTGCTGTATTCTGTTCTAAATTGTAACATCTAACCTAGAAGATTTAGCCAACTTAGCAATTATAAGACAAGGCTTAAATCACCAGACAAAAAACTAATAAAAGAGGAAAAGACTGGAAGATAGATTTAGGAACATCATTAATAGCAACATCACAAGAATATGTCAGCTAGTTGGGTGAATAGGGTACATGAAGAAGAAATAGTCAAGCACAGATGAGTAATGTGAATGATACCCTCATGACAAGGATGCAGATTTTAGACTACAATTTAGACTTCAATTAGATGTACTAATTGCTGAATTGTTAGATACAATATTGCATTTTGGTAGCTCTTGATATTGTCACACAGCCTGGATACTATTCTCCCAGTAGATTTCATAGCCCTCATGTGTCAAATCAGCAGGATCACTTTTGATGGATTACCAGTTCCATCCATCATCCAAAAACCTGCACCATCCATTTAACACAGTCTTCCCCAATCTGATCCTTCCACGCAACTCCCATACTGGCTAGAGCTATTGGAGTTGTATTCAGTGATGGGATTCAAATATGTGAACAACCGGTTCTCTGTGTGGATGCCGCTTTCGGAAGTCCATTCTGGGCCTGGGCAAGAAAAAAATTAGCTACCGGTTGTGCCGAAGTGGTGCGAACTGGCTGAATCGCACCACTGGTTGTATTCCATCTTAGATGGAAGAGAACAGATTGGGGGAAATTGTTTTCAAATAGGTTTGGGAATACATGACCATTCAGCTATCACTCAAAACACTTCCAGCATTGCTCTTTATTGGCCATGCTGGCTGAGGCTTCTGGAAGTTGTAATTCAGCAACGCCTGGAAGACAACAGATCCCGCAGCCTTGATTTAAAAGTTCAGAAATTGTTCATGATTATAAAACCAGCTTTTCCACCCTGTTCAATGAAAGGCATTCTTAAGGGTGGGGGATGTCTCTTTAACACTCTACAAAGGCAGACACAGAGAAGATTGCTAGACTTGAAAGTCTGTTAAAAAAAATGCTCATGAAGCTGCTCCTTGCTCCTGTGTATTAACAGCATAAAATAAGATTCTTCTTGAGAAAATAAAACTCAATAAGTAAAGGACAAGCACAACAAAATGGTACACATATTTATAACCACACAACCAGGCTTCTGGCATAAGGTGTTACAGTTTCACAAACAATCAATACAAATTATTGGATCTAAAATTACTTTTTGATTACCACTGTGAAAATACAAGCTGCTTGAGTCATTCCTCACTCTATTGATTTTACTGTGGGTATGAGTGTGTGCTCCTATTGCATTTTTAAAGCTCTTGGAGTCATGTTTTAAGTCTCCATTCTATTGTGAAATACTATACACACGCAAACACACACAAAGGATCATACCAGAAAGCTTTATGGGCAATGGGATTTTTCTCTGCAGTTAATTTATAAGTTTGGCTAACCAAGGGTGCTAATCAACATTGGGGGGGGGGGAGAAGAGACCTTATCTGTGGATTATTTTCTTTAAAAAAAATAGTAAATTTTTCAGAGGCAGGCAATTCTTTGTTAGCTACCTGAATTTTATAATCACTTCTTAACTTGTTCATATGTTTTGTGTAGTAACCTTTACCTCTGAGCAGCAGCTCCTGTTGTGTGGTACTTTGTTTCCTGCTGGTTCCCATAGCAATGAGCCGATCAGCTGTTGTGGAAGAGACCAATCTGATCTTGCCAGTTGTCAAGGCTGGTAAATGGGCTGCTTAATTTTTCCGTTGTCAAGTTGTCAAATATTAGCCTCTTTCTGGCTCTAACGTCTCAAGCAGGGGGAAAAAAAAATAAAAATAAAGTTGAGGCTGCTGGATGAGCAAAAGGTTTCCACTCTGTGTAAGCCCACAATGCATTGCAAGGTGTGCTCTTCTTTGGTCTTTGATTGACAGGCTGGGAGCTGGACTTCAGAGAGAGCTGGACTTCAGAGAGACTTTGGGCTAGTCCGGGGGTCTGCAACCTTGACAACTTTAAGACTTGTGGACTTCAGGTCCCAGAGTTCCTCAGCCAGCTATAGCTGGCTGAGGAACTCTGGGACCTGAAGTCCACAAGTCTTAAAGTTGTCAAGGTTGCAGACCCCTGGGCTAGTCATTCTCTCTTAACCCAACCCACTTCACAGGCTTGTTGGGGAGAAAATAGGAGGAGAAAGGGGTATTAGGTATGTTTGCCGCCTTGTGTTTTTTTATATAAATAATATATAAGTATAAATAATAAAGGTGGAAAATATCACGTGCAAAGGATTACGATCACACATTCAGTTGCAGCACAAAAGATTTATTCAAGCCTAATCATTAATGGTCAGCATTAAGTTGGCGCTAGATAAGGGTCAAAGGAATTCAAGGAGGGCTGGATTTGGATTGTTTGTGGCAACATAAGGACTCTAAGCTAATGACACATTTAACTCCACACACACCCCACCCCCACCTCTGCCTGCTCTTGTCCTATGGGATAAAAATAAAAATTAAAAAATACCTATATAGAATTAAATTAAATATTTTAGAGTTACTGGGATAACTTTCCATTCACATCTTTAAACACTGTAACAGGGTCACAGATTTGAGAGGTTTCTATGCTGCAGCAAAAGGACACCCATAAGAGGTTCAGGAAATCAAGATGGTGATCATGTTCGAAGCCATCCTATTTTTTTTAAAAAAAAATTTTCTTTTAAAATGTTCTATAGATGGCATTTGCCATCAACAAGATTAGAAAAAAATGTTTAAAAATATGTCAGAGAAATGTTGGAAATGTAAACACAAACCAGGTACTTATTATCATGTGTGGTGGACATGTGTTAAAGCAAGGCTATATTGCACAACAATCCACACTTGGTTAGAAAAAAATGTTAGAGAAACACATAGACTGTAAACCTGAATGTTTTTTACTAGGTATAATGTCAGAAAAACTTGATAGGCAAAGTACATACCGTACTTGATTTTAGTTGTGATAATAGCAGCAAGAATTATATTTGCACAATATTGGAAGAACAAAGAAATACCACCAGAAGAAGAAATAATTAAAAAAAAATACTAGACTGTGCGGAAATGGATAGACCTTTACTTTAAGGTTGAAAGAAAAAGAAGAAACAGAATATTTTCAAATTTGGGACCTATTTTATCAATGGTTAGAGAAAAGATTTAGGGAGTAAATAAGATACTCAGACAACATGTTTTTGTTGAATGAATACTATTGAATTCTGTTAAAAAATAATCAATAAAACTTTATAAAAAAATAAAATATTTTATGGGGGAAATATAAGATCGGGAAGATACGCTAAAGTGCAATCAAATATAACAGTGCTAATATAATGAGAACAGAATATTAATGAAATTAGTGACATTTGAAGAAATAAAGATATATCCATAAAATGTTAATATAGAACCAGCTCAATCATTGCATTATTAAATCATCTAATGCCCATCTCTCAGTTTTAATATAATATGTTATTTCAATTTAAGGATATTGAATGATTGAAGCCCTGCCTGTTTTCTGAGTGCATTGTGCATGTGATGCCAGTTAAAAAGAGAGTAGCACTTTAGCCACCAACCGAACCTTTTGACTCTCCCACCCACAGACATTATTGGCAGCAAACTATTTGTGTTCATCACACCAAGGCCCACACGAAGACAGGGCTTTTCAACCAGTGGTATGGGTACCACCTGTGGTACATTGGCACCTGGCAGGTGATACGTGACCATCCTAGAAAAGTGGTAGCAGGGGAGGGGAATGAGCTGAACCAGTGGCAGCACCGCACAAGCCTGAGCGAGAGATGGCTGGAGCTGCAGGGCTATCAGGGCTCAGCAGAAGCGCCAGGATCAGTGCTTCTTCAGGGCTGTCAGGGCTCAGGGGAAGCACCAGGATCAACGCCAGGCTCCAGCTGGAGCTTGGTGCTGATCCTGGTGCTTCTGCTGAGCCCAGAAGAAGCGCCGATCAGCTGGAATGTTGCAGCATCTCCAGGGTCTTGTGATTTACATTCAGATGCTTGGCAACTGATTCATATTTATGACAGTCACAGTGTCCCAGAGTCATGTGAAGTGACCAAAACCTGCTGCAACCACCCAGCAGATGGGGGAATAAAAACCAAAAAACCCCCATCCCACCCCCACTGTCAATTCTCAACAGAAATGTTCACAACAATGGAAACCCCGGACAGGAGGAAGAGTGCCACCGGGTGGGCAGGCAGGTATCTTGCTCGACTGTGGCTTGGGGGGGGCACTTTTTTCAGTGTCATTGTAACTTCAAACAGTCACTAAGCAAACTGTTGTAAGTCGAGGACTACCTGTACTTTATCACTTTTTTCCTCCCATGCATATAATCTCTTCAAGGATTATCTGCATGGGAGGGAGGAAGGGAGTCAGTCATCTCAATAGTAGAATTCATGAAAATAGCACCATTGTGTTATTTAATGGCATCTGTGGTGCTCTCCCAGTTATGGGCAGCCCATCCCTTTTTCTGGGTGATTTCCCTGACAGTCTCTCTCTTCTGACCAGTTCTTTGTTTCCTAATGTGTGCTCTCTTATGATTGTTCAATCTACGTCCTTTTTACAATTTTATTTTAACTTTCTGTTAACTTGGCTGCTTTAAATATAAATAAGAAAAAAAGAGAGAAAATCCCCTCCCCAACAAATAGAGAAAGATAAGAAAAGACAAGGAGACAACAGAAACATGATACCCATTGTGGAGGCCTAATTCATATGCTTAGAAAGGCATAAATTAAACTAAATAGCTCAGGGCTTAGTGTTGTGACCCTGGAATGGAGACAGATAAGAGAAATCAGACAGCTGTCCATCCTTCCGAGTGTGAATAGAATGGTATAAAAGGATACTGTCACAATAAATAACATTGTTTATTGGGCATGCTGATATTATCAGAAATTATTTCAACAGTATAAAAAGTAATATGCAAGCCCTCCCAATAATTTATCCAAGTATTTCAGTGTTTGGGTCACGCTGTAATTGTAATTTTTCTTTTCCCTTGCTTTTGTAATGTAACTAAACCAAATATATAACATATGTAAAGATGTTTCATTGGGTTTTTTCCTCTCACAGTCTGATAGCTAGGAGCGCAGTGATCAACTTAGCTTATTGCTGTAGAAATATACTTTTGTGGCATCTACCTGCAATCGCTTTGATCTCATTATAACTTGACTGTATGGATTAATTAATAGGGAACTTCTGTCTTCCATTATATTGATAGAGAATTAGTTCATAAGTTGAAAAAGAACATATCTCACAGATGCTAAATGTGGTTATTTTTCTTTCAGAAAGAGTTCTCCCCCTTCACTATCTCCTTTCATATATAATTCAAAAGAATATTCTGTACTGAACTTTGTAATACCCAGTTAACAAATTCATGGTTATAAAACCAAAATGAGACACTAACATAATAATAAATGACTTCTTGCCCATTTTAAACTTCCAAGAAAGTATGGTTAACAATAACTCTTCACAAGTATCCAACCCATTTTGGACCTGTAGCAGCCGGTAAACATAAAAATGATTTTTTTCTTATAATCTTTAAGATCATAAGAAAGACATTTAGTAGTCCTTAAGACTCTTAGTTATTGATTTGTTAATAGGAAATATCCCACTTTCTTACTGTAAATTGTAAATGCAGTTACAATTTTTTTTAAATAGTTAATACCTTAGAAATACAGTTAAACTGTTTGTATTTAAATGTAGATTTAGAATGAACTAAACTACATTTCAATACTATTTAGGGGTTTTAGTTGCTTCTAGTGCATGAGGATGAACTTGTGAAATCAAGTGGTGGTATAAAATATTAAAACCCTTTCTTACTCATAACTTCAAAGAAAAGAGTTATCAGCAATTTTCAGACAGGCTGTCCCAGACTACAAGTTTATCATAAGAATAATGAACAAATTATACTTATGTTCAAGCAACAGAGCTATAGCTAAGGTGACCAACATTTTACAATGAGAAGGAGGAAACAAATAAATTGAAGAAAAAAAGTGAGTCTAATGTGTGCGTGTGTGCCATGTCGTGTTTTGGTAAGAAGTAAACAAAGCTACTTGCATGCGGTGCACTCTTGCACACGGCACACACTCTCAAAACAATTCTCCTGTGCGGAGCACATGCGTCTCATAATCGTGTCTCGCTGCACTATACCAAACCTTGACGAATCGTCATGTCAAATACAAATACGTGACATCACATGCAATGGATTGGATCAGCATCGATCGAATATGGAGATTTACAGATTAGTCTTCAAATATCGAAAAGGAAGACATGTAGGAGGACACTTTTCGAGAGAGGACAGAACTTACAAAAGAAGGACTGTCCTCCCTAAAGGACGACGATTGGTTACCTTACTATAGCTAAAACTGGATCTAAACCCCCACACAGCGTCAAAGGTGCCACATAATAACTAACTGTGCCATAATGTTTTTTATCTCATTATTTCATTCTATAAAAACATTTGAAGTCCAAATATATGCCTTTGGCCCCCTAATCATATGGTAGCTATAATTTAGACAATGCCTGGGAGGTTGTGCTTTCCATTAAAAAACATAATATTTTATTAATCTGTTTAAAACAATTTAAAGATAATAGCACAGGAATAGCTCTAAGTAAATATATTGAGCTAACACTTAGTGGTGTAGTTGCCTAGAGCTGAAGGTGCTTGCCTCCCACTCTGAAGGTTGAAAGTTCGATCCTGGGCAGTGACAGATGTTCCTCTATCACTTTTTTTCAAAGACAAAATATCTAGTGGAAACTCCGCATAGGGATCAGGAGGGGCATCTGGCCAGTAA